TCTGGAAAACTTTTACCAGATAGGGCGGGGTCAAAGTTTTACATGGAAATGTACAGAAAAAACTTTTAAAATCTGAAAAACTTAGAAAAGTGAAACTTATGCATCATGGGGTAGAGTAGACTTTATAAATTGTCCAAATTTGATGGTCATTAACCCGTGGGACAGGGTGGGGTCACAATAGGTATTACAAGGGGGAATCTGGTCAAGAACAGCATGATCAAAGCAATTCAGGTGAGCGATGTAGCCCATGGGCCTCTTGTTTAAATTTGCAGGTTTTAATTTTTAGTTCTAAATTCTTCAATTCATTACCCCTGGCTTACCCCCAGTCATAGGGCGGGGTCATAATTTGGAATCCAAGTTTTACATGGAAATGTACAGAAAAAACTTTTAAAATCTGCTTCTCTGGAAAAACTGGGCCAGAAAAGCTGAAACTTATGTGAAAGCATCATGGGGTAGAGTAGACTTTATAAATTGTCCAAATTTGATGGTCATTAACCCGTGGGACAGGGTGGGGTCACAATAGGTATTACAAGGGGGAATCTGGTCAAGAACATATGGAAAAAACTTAAAAATGATCTTTTCAAAGCAATTCAGGTGAGCGATGTAGCCCATGGGCCTCTTGTTTAAATTTGCAGGTTTTAATTTTTAGTTCTAAATTCTTCAATTCATTACCCCTGGCTTACCCCCAGTCATAGGGCGGGGTCATAATTTGGAATCCAAGTTTTACATGGAAATGTACAGAAAAAACTTTTAAAATCTGCTTCTCTGGAAAAACTGGGCCAGAAAAGCTGAAACTTATGTGAAAGCATCATGGGGTAGAGTAGACTTTATAAATTGTCCAAATTTGATGGTCATTAGCCCGTGGGGCAGGGTGGGGTCACAATAGGTATTACAAGGGGGAATCTGGTCAAGAACAGCATGATCAAAGCAATTCAGGTGAGCGATGTAGCCCATGGGCCTCTTGTTTAAATTTTGAAGGTTTTAATTTTTAGATTAATTTTAATGCATATCTTTGACATTATGATGCCACTGATCTTCAAATCTTGTCAGCTGATGCATCTTGGGGCTTTGAATTTGTCAACGAAAAGTTTGGTCACCATGAACCATTTTGTGAATTTTATGAATAACCTTGTTCTATAGCATTTAGCTCATCATTTTACATGCTGAGGTTTACAACCGTTCAGCCTTGTAAGCTGTACCATCACAGTAACTCAGTTGATAAAGAGTTTGCTACCTGATCAGAAGGTCCTGGGTTCAATCCCTGGAAACAACTGATTGAAGTTGAATAAAAATAGGTAGCAAGTGTTCCTTTGCTAAGCACTAGGCACTGTGAATTGAAAGTTGCAGGTTCTTTGAATGATACTTTAACACCCCTGTGTCAGAGCAGGCATTAATTGGCATCCCAGACTCTGCAGTAAAAGATCTCTAACTGTTCAATGACCTTGAGCGCTGAGTCAAGGTCTTGTAAGTTGATGTACCTTGGAGTCTTAGAAAGCATATCATAGTTACCTAGTTTCTGAATTTTTCAGGTATCTATTTATGAATTGATTTTGATGTAATTTTATATGTTGGACACTGCAAAGTTTGGGATCATCATCCTTGTCAGCTGTGATACATCCTACGGTCTCGGAGTATCTCGGCCAAAACATAATTTATGTTTTTATACTAGATTATCAATAGAGTGCCACTCTTATACACCAGAACCATGACAATCACTTTACCCTGTCCATATTCACAACAAGTCTGAACCCCCTCCCCCTTTTTAATGGGTTTATAGCATAGCTTTTTAAAATTTGTAACATGTTTGTTTCTGTTATATAGTATAACAACATGAATTATTTCCATACCTCGAAGCAAAGATCATTTATCTCGTCTCCAGCTGCAATTATGAAGGAACTAGAAAGATGTTGGCTCCAGAAATGTCAAAAGGTCCTTCATCTGTTCACAAACCAAATATCAGGACTGTGACCATATTACTTCATGTAGGCAACCTCATGTGCATCTTTAAGGCATAAACCATGCTGTGATGTGCAACTTCACTTCTGAATCAATTTATTTCATTTAAATGAGACAGGAATCTGTGAATAAAATGAAAAAAAAAATAGGACAATGAACATTATATAAAACAAGAGATGTTTGTAAAATACTTATGCCCCCTCCTCCAAATAATTGGAATTTTTCTAAGTCCAAGGGGCAAAACTCTGTCAACAATAGCTCGATCGTATTCACAACAAAACATAATGACCTAGACATTTTTATGATAAATCTGTATATCAAATTTCATTTCAGTATGTGAAACTCTGCGAAGAAAGTGAACCAGTATGCTACTTGGGGGACTGACAGACAGACTGATTGACCAACAGACAGCAGCAAAGCAATATGCCCTCCCTTCTTTTAATGTGGTATAATTATTATATGGTAATGTATACTTTAAAAATGAGTACATCATTGTTCAGTCTAAAGTGTATGCATTACAAAAGTAGACACTATATAATTCTCAAAATCTTTTTGAAGCTTGATATGACAGCCTTGCAGTTCAGCAGCATTTTGACCTTGAAGTCTGTTCTGAGGTTCTGTATAGTCTATACAGTCTATTAGATTGTAAGAGCGGAGTATGATGGTCCTTGTGCTGGTCCTCAGATCTCACATGATAACTCGGCAGCTTGTCAATGACAATATTACAGAGAAACAATTAAATGCATAAGCGTCAGAACCGGGGGGCTAGGGGGGCTTACCCCTCCCCCATTTTTTTTTTTTTGCAAAAATACTTAAAATAGACATTATATAGGCATTAAAAAATTGGGATTTACCTTTTTTTGTTGGTTTAGGACCCCAACTTTCGATTAGCCTCCCTCACACTTTAATTAAATTTGCTTCCTACACCCATGAAATGTACGTCCTCCTTCTGTAACAATGTATTATAGATTTGACAGGCATAACACATGTTATAAAAAATCAATTTTCTCAAAAACACCAAAGCAATGATAGAGTATGTTATCCCTATATGGTGCAGATTCAAATTTGGTCAAAACATAGCTTGGAGTACGTAGGTTGGCCAAATATTGAGGGGGATGAACGTTTCACATGGAAATCAGATATCCCGGAAAATCTAAAACTATATATATGTGTAGAGATGGACATTTATGTCTCTTGTCTAATGTTCATTTAAGGCTATAAGCAAAATAAAACTAGAAGTATTTGTAAAACACTGATGCCACATCCCTGAATTTTTGGATTATTTTATAGTTTTAAATACTTTTTTTTTTTTTTACAAAATTTCTACTTTTCTTCAGTATTAGGAATAAACTTTATGGCACTCTCTCTGAAAGTGTAGGATGTGTAAATCAAATGAGTCCAAAAATTGGTAGTTTATATTTTATGGGAAATGCTTTAGTAACATGTAAGTTATTGAATTATGAAACATGTATACTGAAATGCAAAAGAAAGGCAACAAGCAGTAATCTACAAATTTTTTATCTAAAAATTTTCAAAAAAGAATACAGTAAGGCTAAACTCACTTTTCAGAATATCAGAGATTTGATAAAATTGTTACATATTTATCTTTTAACTTTACTAAGTAACATAATGACTGTTAAGACGCCCCCCTCCCGGCCATTCAATTACACAATGTGCAAGACTGCCCTAAACAACAATTGCAGCTTAATTTCTACGATATGCATTGTAGTAGGTTAATCAATATCAAAATATGAGTGAAGAAACTTATGATCCTTTGCCATTTTTAAATGTCTGTTTTTTCAGATGATTAGGTCGAATTTTCTCTAGCTTAGCACATTGTAGTAACCCTTGGACTTCCGGTCCAAGGACTATCATTTATATGATACACGTAAACGAAACGAAAGATTTTATTTTTTGAAATATTGCTGCATTACTTAAGATGAACAGTACAAAACCCTTAAAACTCCATAATATTGCCAAATGTTTTGTTAAACATGCATTTTTTGATTTCTGTTAAGCAGACTCAAACTTGACTCACTTTTGATCTCAGGCTCACTTTTGATCTCAGTCTCACTTTTTCCGAAGGAATATGTAGTGGAAAAGTGAGACTGAGATCAAAAGTGAGCTCGTCTAAGTTTTATGGCCCCATAATTTTAAGATACAAAATTCTTTACTTTACATAATTATTTCCCCCTATAGTAAGGTGATGCATTTCTTTTGCGTTTCAGTCTATTTAAAATGTACAGAAAGTATGAACTCCAAATCTATGTTCCCTTTTTCAAATTACTGTGGAAAAGAACAATTAAAACCAGTTTGAATAAGAGAATTAAATTTTTTTTCAACTTGTATAAGCATCAACTCAAAAGTGTTAATATTCATTCAAAGAGAGCAACAAATTTATAAGTATATGAAAATAACGATTTTGCATTCATTTCAGCAAAACACTGCAAGATTGTTGAGGATACCATTGCTAGAAATTATTTGATAAGATAATTGATGCAATTTAAATACCGGATGAACTGATATTTTACTGATCAAACTTTTTAGAAAGTTTGATCAGTTGAGTGTTCATTCAAATAGCACTCCATAGTACATGTACATTCAGTAATGTACATATATTATTAAAACACCAAAACTTCTCCTCTGCTTTTAAGGGCTTGGAACCTTCTGCTTGAAATAACATGGTAATTCAAGCAGGCAGCATTAAAAGCTTTGTGCCTTTTTTCAATTTTTCTTTCTCTGTCAGTTTTTCTTTGTTTTTTGTTTTTTTTTTGTTTCTTTTTTTTTCTTTTTTGATTTTTGTTTCATTTTTTTTTTTTCATTTTTTTTCTTGTTTTGTTTTTTCTTTTTTGATTTTTTTTTTCATTTTTTTCTTTTTTTTTTGTTTTTCTTTCTTTCTTTCTTTTTTTCTTTGTCTTGTTTTGTTATTATTTTTTTTTTTGGCACAAAACTTGCCAATGAGATTAAAATAATTTCACATTTCCAATTCAAAATTCCACATTACAATTCACAATTTCACATCAACAATTCACAATTGCATAAAAAAAAATCACAATTTAACATTTTAAATCAATGATTTAACATTAACAAATCACAATTTAACATTTTTAGAGGCAATTCACTATTTTACATTTTCAAATGCAATTTTACAATTTTATATTCATTTCTTTCACTGCATAATAAAGTCATATCAGTATATAATGGATTGGATTTCACTATAAGCTAATAACGAAATGGTGACTATACAAATTATTCTTTTTACAACAGCTGACAGAATTTACACATTCTGTGAATACTTATGTCATATTTAACAATCATTACATCTGCAACATATTTAACTTCATCTAAACAATTACAATAATGAACTATCATCTCATTGGCATAATAATGAAGAAAGAGAAAAGCGGGGGGTCAGTGTGGGAGGAAGACGGAGTACCCGTAGAGAACCCACGTGTCCGAATGGGCGACCCCATACCCTGACATAATTCGGACACCCTTTACAAAAATATTTTAAAAATAGTCTTTGAAAAAAACATTGTTACTAGATTGCATTTAGATCAGTGCTTTGAAGATGTGGATTAATCCTGCATCAATTAAGTCCTACTTCTGCATCCACACATATCATCTCACTTAGGATGTTCCTTCTAAAGTTTCTTTGATTTTCTGTAAATAAACAATGCAAGAGGTAATTGTCAGGTTTGAAGAAAAAAAAATTAAGAAGAGACCTATATGCTACATTGCTCACCTGAGCACTAAGGCTAGGAAAAAGCAGAAATCAATTGAGTATACTGTAGATCACCATATTTTAGTGACTTGTTGTTTAATTAGTGAAACAGAATTTCTGCTAGCTGTGGTTTCTGTTGTATATAAACATTAATAAAACAATTATACATGAAAATTAATTTTTTGTGAGCAGACAGTCCCTCTTGAGAAATTTTTACTCATATAGCAATGCAACATATTTCAGTGGAGGACTACAAATGTAGACATATTCTTGGTTTTAAGGCCATTGAGCAGTGAGGGATTTTTTTTTCACCTACTGCAACATGGCACCCCAGTTTCTATGATCTCAGAACCCACAATGGTAGGATCAACTCCTTTATACTATGCTACTCTATAGCAGATTCTTTTAAATACCACTGTACCATGCAAACAACACAAAATGTGTAATTAGAATTTCACAGCATAAATTATATCAATGTATCATTCTGGGGATTTTACCACTTCCAGAGGTAAACAAGCAGTAGAAAGTCAAACATATTAATTAATGTGCACAGATGAGGTCTCAGTGGGGACTTTTGCAGCAAGATGTGCATCTGATTATATACTGCATCAGTTTTAGTATGATAACACAACCTGTGTTTATCAGAATGTAACGCAGACAGGTTTGAGGAGGACCCAATGAATACAACATATTTTTTTTTTTAGAAATTTTGAGTCAAAATCATGAGAAGAAAATGGGAGAAAATACATGTACATATATATTTACCAATGTTTTTGTTTTTGTTTTTTTTTTAAATAAAAATCTACACTTAATTTAACTATGTTTGAACAAGTGTTTAAGAAAAATGTATCAGCAATGGTCTAGAGTATAAGTTATATAAAAATTTCTAGTCAAAATTTTAATATTATATGAATTAAGGGTCAGCATATTTGGCTGAACACCATTACAAAAGCCAGCTATAATTATATTGTCGACTACAAATAAAAAAGTCCTGGACTAAAAATTTGGTCTACTAGTTAACTTGACCTTGTTTAATTTAAACAATAAGATGATTTGGAATATGATAATGTCATATACCTGATCAGTGTCAGCTATCTCCAGTGGTAGGTCTGGGTGGAAAAGTCAACATCCATCAGGCATTGTCCTCCAGGTGTTTCCTTTAAGTCTTGTTGGGGGCATCTTGTGGTTTCCACATTTTGAAGATCATTGTCCATCAGGCTTATCTGTGTTCATTGTTTCCACCAATTCCTTTTGGGTGTAGCTGGTGTTTTCACATATTGGAAAAACAATGTCCATCAAGTTCGACTCAAGATTCATAATGGCCGTGCCTCCTCAAGATTTTTTCACTAAGTCCTTTTGAAGGTATTTGCTGTTTTCCCATCTTAAAAGAGGTTCATCAAGCTTGTCTATTCCAATTGCTTTCACAAAGTTCTGTTAGCTGCAGCTGCAGTAAGAGTAAGAAGAAAATAAATGGAGAAAATACATCATAAAAGCTTTCTCAGGAAAATCCTCATTTAACTTTTTTTAAACAATTGTTATGTTGTCCCAACAGTGGTTTTTATTATTAAGCAAAAATTCAATATTGGTGTAAAGAGTTTGTTTATCTAGCTGAACACCATAACAAAAGTCAGGTTTTACTGACTTTAAGAAATAAGATCAGCTAAAATTTTAGCCAGCTAGTTAATTAATAAAATGATCTTAGATTATGATGTCACATACCTCAGCTAAATGTCAGATCGGGATCATCAGCATCCTTTGGCTATTCATCCTCCAGTTGTTTCTATCAGGTCCTTTTGGGTGCATCTACTGTTTTCACCACGTACTGTTGGGTGCATTTGTTGTATCCACATCTTGGAAGATCAGCATGTACTGGCTATGCATCATCCAGTTGTTTCTATCAGTGTCCAGTTTGGGACATCTGCTGTTACTCAAGTCTTGTTGAAAATATCTGCTGTTACAAAGTCTTGTTGAGAATATGTGCTGTTACACAAGTCTTGTTGAGAATATCTTGTTGAGAATATCTGCTGTTACGCAAGTCTTGTTGAGAATATCTGCTGTTACACAAAATCTGCTGTTGAGGACATCTGCTGTTACTCAAGTCCTGTTAAGGATATCTGCTGTTACTCAAGTCTTGTTGAGGACATCTGCTGTTACTCAAGTCTTGTTGAGAATATCTGCTGTTACACAAGTCTTGTTGAGAATATCTGCTGTTACACAAGTCTTGTTGAAAATATGTGCTGTTACAAAGTCTTGTTGAGAATATGTGTTGTTACACAAGTCTTGTTGAGAATATCTGCTGTTACACATGATCTGCTGTTGAGGACATCTGCTGTTGCTCAAGTCTTGTTGAGAATATCTGCTGTTACACAAGTCTTGTTGAGAATATCTGCTGTTACACAAGTCTTGTTGAGAACATCTGCTGTTACACAAGTCTTGTTGAAAATATGTGCTGTTACAAAGTCTTGTTGAGAATATGTGTTGTTACACAAGTCTTGTTGAGAATATCTGCTGTTACACATGATCTGCTGTTGAGGACATCTGCTGTTTCACAAGTCTTGTTAAGAATATCTGCTGTTACACAAGTCTTGTTGAGAATATCTACTGTTACGTAAGTCTTGTTGAAAATATGTGCTGTTACAAAGTCTTGTTGAGAATATGTGCTGTTACACAAGTCTTGTTGAGAATATCTGCTGTTCCACAAGTCTTGTTGAGAATATCTGCTGTTCCACAAGTCTTGTTGAGAATATCTGCTGTTACACAAAATCTGCTGTTGAGGACATCTGCTGTTACTCAAGTCCTGTTAAGGATATCTGCTGTTACTCAAGTCTTGTTGAGGACATCTGCTGTTACTCAAGTCTTGTTGAGAATATCTGCTGTTACACAAGTCTTGTTGAGAATATCTGCTGTTACACAAGTCTTGTTGAGGACATCTGCTGCATCTGCTTGTTACACATGTCTTGTTGAGAACATCTGCTGTTTCCACATCTTGGAAGATTAGCATCCATTGGCCCTGTCTCCTCCAGCTGTTTCCACCATGTCATGTCCTTGTTTACTATCACAAGCTTTCTTATTGTCTCTGACCAGTATAGCTAAAAAAAAGCCAGGCTTAAAATAAAAAGTCAGTTAGCAACTTTGACATGGTTACTTAGATGATCTTTAATCATGATTACTAGTATCTCATATACATGTACCTGATCAGTGTCAGTTATTTTCTCTGATGTCTTGTTTGGAAGGTCAACATCATCAGGCAAGTCTCCTCCAGTTGTATCTACCATGTCCTGTTAGGTGCATCTGCTGTTTCCTCCATGTCCTGTTGGGTCCATCTTCTGTATCCACCAAGTACAGTTGGGTGCATCTGCTCTTTCCATTAAGTCTAGTGGAGTGCATCTGCTGTTTCCACCAAGTCTAGTGGAGTGCATCTGCTGTTTCCATCAAGGCCAGTTGGGTGCATCTGCTAACAATATTAATAGCTTTATTTCACTGCATGCATTTTACAATGAAATATCCTATTAAGTCCTTTTCAACTCAGATTCAATTTCCTTAATTTCTCAGATTCGTAACTTTTATTCTGCTCCTTAATTTTTGGTCTTTAATTTGTTTAAAATGATCCCATAATAAAGGTGACAACTTAATAATAAAGTTTTATAGGATATTTCATTGGGAAAAAATAAAATGACCACTTAAGAAAGATCTCTGCTGTATAAAGTTGGTTACTATGAAGTTTGGCTGTATGTTATTGATTTGAAATGCAACATCATAAATCTATAATCTAACAATTATAATTCATTTCAGTTTTCTCTATATTTTTCAATAATTATCAATTCAATATTTTCTATCATACCTTTTTGATGATGGTTTAGAATTTGGCTTATTCCTCTTCATCTTAAGTGAATTGTCCAACTATAAAATACTAACAAAATTTTAAAATAGAGTTGAAATAATAGATACAGTAAAACTCGTTCAGTAAAGACACAAATATTGCGAATTCATAGATATAGTGAAGTTACCTTGAATCTCTAGCTATATAAATTTTATGAAATCATTACATGGATATAACAAATTATGGATATAGCGAAGTAATGTCATAGGTCCCAGTGACTTCGTTATAACCGAGTTTTACTGTAATAAGGCCCTCATTAAGACAGGTGCTTCGGGTGAAACACACAGTTTCCTCCTTATCCAACATGTCTAACGTTGATGCTATTGCACTATGCAACAATTAACACTAGACATATTCTTAGGAATAATAAATGCAATAACAAATAAAGCTCATAACAATAATGTAATTAACAAAAACTCATAACTATAACAAATAACAAAAAATCTCAACTAAAGCAAATAACTAAAACAAATAACAAAAAATCTCAACTAAAGCAAATAACTAAAACTCATAACTATAACAAATAACTTAAAACTCATAACAATTAATTAAAACTCATAACAACTAACTTACACTCATAACAATAACGAATAATTAAAAATCACAACAAAGGCAAATATCTTAAGCTCCTAACAACTAAAACTCATAACAGCCACAGTAACAAATAACTGGAACTCATAACAATGTCAACTAATAAAAACATTAAAAACACAATGTAACAATTAACAAATAAAACAGGAAAATAAATAAATAACTTTTACAACCCTCATAAACAAATGACAATGATAACAACCTAATAAACAAATAAACAATAATAAAAACCTTATGAACAAATAACAACAAATACTAACAAAGAAAAAAAATAGAATACAAAAAGTAAGAACTATAAATAAACAAAGAGACCTAACATCAAAGAAATACAAAAAAAAACCTCCATTCCAGCGTTGGTGGCATGCTGTTCCAATCCAAGATGCCCAGCCTCCTCTAAATCCTCCAACGATGAAGTCCCAGCTACCTCCGAGTCCACGGTCTCCAACGATGAAGTGCCAGCAAAGAGAGAACAGAGAAGATTAGACAAAGAAAAAACAACAGAACAAAAAACAAATTGAAAAAACTATTACCAGAAAATGTGTTGAAAGTGGAGGAGGGGAAGGAAATGTTAGTACTAATTAGTGAGAGTGCAAAAATGATAATGAAACCAACTCACCTCTGCTTTTCCTTAAAGACTAAGATATACCTCAACTCCAGCGTTGTTGGCATGCTGTTCCAATCCAAGATGCCCAGCCTCCTCTAAATCCTCCAACGATGAAGTCCCAGCTCCTCCCGAGTCCACCGGATCCAACGATGAAGTGCCAGCAAAGAGAGAACAGAGAAGATTAGACAAAGAAAAAACAACAGAACAAAAAACAAATTGAAAAAACTATTACCAGAAAATGTGTTGAAAGTGGAGGAGGGGAAGGAAATGTTAGTACTAATTAGTGAGAGTGCAAAAATGATAATGAAACCAACTCACCTCTGCTTTTCCTTAAAGACTAAGATATACCTCAACTCCAGCGTTGTTGGCATGCTGTTCCAATCCAAGATGCCCAGCCTCCTCTAAATCCTCCAACGACTTATGAAGTCCCAGCTACCTCCGAGTCCACCGGATCCAACGATGAAGTGCCAGCAAAGAGAGAACAGAGAAGATTAGACAAAGAAAAAACAACAGAACAAAAAACAAATTGAAAAAACTATTACCAGAAAATGTGTTGAAAGTGGAGGAGGGGAAGGAAATGTTAGTACTAATTAGTGAGAGTGCAAAAATGATAATGAAACCAACTCACCTCTGCTTTTCCTTAAAGACTAAGATATACCTCAACTCCAGCGTTGTTGGCATGCTGTTCCAATCCAAGATGCCCAGCCTCCTCTAAATCCTCCAACGATGAAGTCCCAGCTACCTCCGAGTCCACCGGATCCAACCATGAAGTGCCAGCAAAGAGAGAACAGAGAAGATTAGACAAAGAAAAAACAACAGAACAAAAAACAAATTGAAAAAACTATTACCAGAAAATGTGTTGAAAGTGGAGGAGGGGAAGGAAATGTTAGTACTAATTAGTGAGAGTGCAAAAATGATTGTTGGCAATGAAACCAACTCACCTCTGCTTTTCCTTGAAAGACTAATTAGATATACCTCAACTCCAGCGTTGTTGGCATGCTGTTCCAATCCAAGATGCCCAGCCTCCTCCTCCAACGATGAAGTCCCAGCTACCTCCAAGTCCACCGGATCCAACGATGAAGTGCCAGCAAAGAGAGAACAGAGAAGATTAGACAAAGAAAAAACAACAGAACAAAAAACAAATTGAAAAAACTATTACCAGAACATGTGTTGAAAGTGGATGAGGGGAAGGAAATGTTAGTACTAATTAGTGAGAGTGCAAAAATGATAATGAAACCAACTCACCTCTGCTTTTCCTTTAAAGACTAAGATATACCTCAACTCCAGCGTTGTTGGCATGAATCCAAATGCCCAGCCTCCTCTAAATACCTAACGATGAAGTGCTACCTCCGAGTGCCAACGATGAAGTGCCAGCAAAGAGAGAACAGAGAAGATTAGACAATGAAAAAACAACAGAACAGAAAACAAATTGAAAAAACTATTACCAGAAAATGTGTTGAAAGTGGAGGAGGGGAAGGAAATGTTAGTACTAATTAGTGAGAGTGCAAAAATGATAATGAAACCAACTCACCTCTGCTTTTCCTTAAAGACTAAGATATACCTCAACTCCAGCGTTGTTGGCATGCTGTTCCAATCCAAGATGCCCAGCCTCCTCTAAATCCTCCAACGATGAAGTCCCAGCTACCTCCGAGTCCCAGCTACCTCCGGACGGTCTCAACGATGAAGTGCCAGCAAAGAGTTAACTTAGAAGATTAGACAAAGAAAAAACAACAGAACAAAAAACAAATTGAAAAAACTATTACCAGAAAATGTGTTGAAAATGGAGGAGGGGAAGGAAATGTTAGTACTAATTAGTGAGAGTGCAAAAATGATAATGAAACCAACTC